ATCTCACATGGGGGCATCCTTTCCCTCTAGGGGCAGCAGCGTCTCCTCACACGGGACGTTACCTTCGCTCTGGGGCTTCACCAGGTCCAGCATCTGGCACAGGCAGTCCTCGAAGGGCAGGGCCTCGATGGCCATGCTGTCCAGCCTGCGGCACTGCTCCTCGTAGAAGTACTCCAGTTCGAACATGGACAGGGCCCCGTCCCCGTCCAGGTCCATGCAGCGGAACCAGTACTCAATGCTGCGGTCACGGCAGGTCAGGGCGAGCCTCCGTCAGCCCGGCCCCCCCCCCCCCGCCACCCCTCCCCGGGCCCGGGGCCGGCCTCGCCGGGACGCGGCCCTGCTGGCGCCCACGCTCGGGGACGACCGCCACCCCAGGGCTTCCGACCGCCGTACCCAACAGACCGCGCGACAGCGCCGAAACGCGTACCTGGTTGGAGTTTTCTTGTCTTCCTCAGAGATCAGAAACCAGACAAAGTCGGCGTAGCTGATCTTTCCTTCCTTCTGTACTTTTCTGCCCCTGGGTTCCGGGCCGAGAGCAGCGGACGAAACGGGGTCAGGGGGAAGCGGCCTGAGGCGGGGCGTCCCCGCCCGCTCCCCGCCGGGAGTGGGGCCTGGGGTTTGGCCCCGTCCTGCACTTGGCTCGCGCCGGGGGAGGCCCGAGAGGACGCGCGCCCCCACGGGGGGGGGGGGGGTTACCCTGCGACTGCGGATGGAGCAGGGGTGGCCGCGCGGCCTCGGTCACGGCCGCCGCGTGGCCTCCGATGGCCCTACTCCAGGGCTCCCTCAGATGCCCCGGGCCTGACGTGACCCACCCACACGGGGCCGTCCTCAACCACCCCTCACTGATGACCTCTTGTGACAACAGCGTTCGCCCCCTTCTGACCTCACGTGACAAAGACGTGCGTCCCCTCGTTTATGATCTCACGTAACAGACGCGTGTGTGTCCCCTCTGATATCATGAGATGGACCTACGTCTCCCTTTCCCATGAGCTCATGTGACGATGGCAAGTATCCTCCCTTACATATGACCTTGCATGACAACAGCACGTGTGTCCTCCTCATGACCTCACGTGACAAGAGCACTCATGCTCGACACAGGACAAGTTCACATGAGGCAGTGAACGAGACAGAACGGGACACAGGGCTCAGAACACGGGTCGCAATCACCAGAAAACCCAAGAAGCGGTGGCTGTGACACGTACCTGGTCACTGCCCCTGAGAATATCCTCTCGATCATCTTGGTGGACAGAGCTGTGGAAACGGAATCGGGCCGTGAGCCGCGGGCACACGCCCGCGGTCACGGCCCGACCTCACGCGAGCGGGGCCGGCCGGGCGGGCTCGGGTCAGGAACGCCGAGACCCGGGCCGGGCGGGGGTGCCACAGAGGGCCCGAGTCCCGCACGTGTCCTCCCCGGGGTGCCACCCAAGGACGGAGCCCAAATCCAAGCCGCGAGAGTGGAAAGCCGACCTGGGTGCTCCGAGAAGAAACGCGCTGGGAAGAGCACAACACGTGTCTATTCCCGCTTCCAGGTGCCCCGACTCCCAACTCTCTCCCTTCGTGATCAAAACCAAACGCGTCCAGCTGACCCCTGACAGAGGGGAGGTGACCACATCGGTCAGCGGAGGTGCCGGGCCCGACCCGGCACTGAGCTGGGGGCTCCAACAACACACATTCATCCTCTCCCAGGGCTGCTTCCTCCTGAGGCCTGTCTCCTGGGCGTGTAGACGCCGTCTTCTCCCCGTGTCCTCACGCGGTCACCCCTCTGTGCGTGCCTGTGTCCTCGTCCCCTCTTCTCGTAAGGACGCCAGCCCTATGGGATCAGGGCCCACTCGACCGACCTCATTTTACCTTAATCCCCTCTTTTTAAAAACCCCACCTCCGGGACGCCTGGGTGGCGCAGTCGGTTAAGCGTCCGACTTCAGCCAGGTCACGATCTCGCGGTCCGTGAGTTCGAGCCCCGCGTCAGGCTCTGGGCTGATGGCTCGGAGCCTGGAGCCTGTTTCCGATTCTGTGTCTCCCTCTCTCTCTGCCCCTCCCCCGTTCATGCTCTGTCTCTCTCTGTCCCAAAAATAAATAAAAAATGTTGAAAAAAAAAATTTAAAAATAAATAAATAAAAACCCCACCTCCACTGACGGCCATTCTTGGGTCCTGGAGGCGTGGCTCCGAAAACGAATTTGGGGGGTGCCCAGAGCAGCCCATTCCAAGCACCGTGTCCCCAAGACAGGGAAACGAAGACAGCGTCTGTCCACGTCTCCCAATTCATGCTACGCCAATGAACGTCACCCTGATATGAAATGACCGGATGCTACAAGAGGCTCAACTGTGTCTCCCCAAAACACACGCCTGCATCCTGGTTCCTGGCATCCAGAGGTGGGTCCTTAATTGGCAACGGGTGTTTGCAGACGTGATTAAGTGAAAGGCCTGAAACGAGGTCACCCTGAATGATCAAGATGGCCCCAAGACAATGAGCGTCCTCGTAAGAGACAGAAGAGAGACGCAGACACAGAGGAGAAACCATGTGAAGGTGGAGGCGGAGACGGGAGGGACGCGGCCACGAGCCCAGGAATGCCTGGAGCCTCAAAAGCTGGAAGAGGCAGGAAGGACCCTTCCCTGGAGCCTCTGGAGGGACTGTGGTCCTGCCCCGCCTGGATCTCAGCGGCTCAGCCCTTCCAGGATTTCACCAGCCTTGCCTGCTGGATCTCAGCGACCCTACCTTGCCTGGATCTCAGCAGCCCTGCCTGAATCTCAGTGGCCTTTCCCTGCCTAGATCTCAGTGGTCCTATCCCTCCTGGATCTCAGCGGTCTTGCCCTGCCTGGATCTCAGCGGCCCTGCCCTGCCTGGATCTCAGCGGCCCTGCCCTGCCTGGATCTCAGTGTTTCTGCCCCTTCTGGATCTCAGGGGTCCTGCCCCTCCTGGATCTCAGTGGCCCTGCCCCGCCTGGATCTCTGCGGCCCTGCCTGGGCCTGCAGAAGTGGAGGTGGTCTGCAGAAGTGGTCTGCAGAAGTGGAGGAGGAGAACTTCCTGCCGCGGGATGGCCCTGGTTTGTGTGGAAACTTCTGCACAGCCGTCCTGGGCATCGCTGCTTCGTAAATTCCTTGACTCTGGAGTTTTGGTCTTCAGACAAAAACAGGATCCCGTTCTATTGCTTTAGGCCCTGTGCTATGGCAGCCCCAGGAAATATGCCCTCTCACTTGGATGTGGAGATCCAGAGGCTGAAAACATGGAGCCTCGAAGGAAATGTACCTTGTGGCTGCAGAGGAAGAAGTCACCTCCGACCCCCTCTGCCTGGCTGCCGCCGCCCACGTCAGACAACCCTGTGGGCCCCAACGCTCTCACAGGTGGGGCTGGCTTACGTGGGCAGGTCGGCCCCCCCCGTATCCACGTGTTGCCGTCTTCCGTGTGCATGTGTCCCACGTGCGTCCCCGTCTCTAGTGCTGTGCTCCGCACGTCCCGTGTCTACCCCGTGTGTGCCCTGCGCGTCCCACGTGTCCGCCCGTCTCACGTATTGTGCCCCGAGCGTCCCGTGTGTCTCCATATCCCGTGTGCGCTGCGGGTTGCATGTATGTCCGTGTCTCACGAATGCCCTGCAAGTGCCACGTGTGTTCCTGTCTCACGCGTGCACGTCCCGCGTCTCCCGTGTGTGTCCCGCAACCACAGACCACTCCCGGAGACAGGAGAGGTGAAGGGGAGAGGAAGGCGGTTTTAGGCATCGGGCCACAGGCCCGGGGAGGCGGCCATGGCCAGTGGCACCGGCCAGAGCTGAGTACCCAAGGGGCCGACGCTCGTGGGCCCCCTTGTCCCACGCAGGCCGCAAGCTCACCGTGGTCATTGTGCCGGGCCAGGTCCTGGGAATCGATAAGAAGGTCGTGGTCCGTGTCCAGCTCCCAGAACTTGCAGTAAATCACATAGAAGTGCTCGTACGAGAAATACTCTGTCAGCTGGTTGATGTCTGCTTCCTCTTCCAAGAGTGCCACGTTCTGCCAACACAAACCCAACAAACCTGCTACCCTCCTCTCGGCGCGATCCCCATGGGAGGGGGCCCCTCGTGGGTGGGACCGCCAGGCAGCTCACGTCACAACAGGCCCGAGGGGTGGGAGCACGGCACCCGGGTCAGGAGCCCACCCAGGCGAGGGTCCGGCTCGAGACTCGGCGCGGCTGCCGCTGGCTGCGAGAGGCAGTCCTGCGGGCGTCCACGCTCTCACCGCTGCGGCCTCCTGATGAGGACGGGTCAGCCCCGTCCTCATGAACGTCCACACGTCCGTAGAACCTGAGTGAGGAGGGCACCCCGCACCCAGTTCCCATGGTCCTGCAGTGGATGCTGGGAGGTCTGGGTAGACGGTTGGGCAGAGGGTGGAGGATGAAGAACCGAACAACAGAATGATGGAAGAACGGTGGAGGGAGAATGGAAGGGTGGAGGGTGGAGGATGGAGGGAGGAGGGTGGAGGATGGAGGGAGGAGGGT